TAAGAACCAAGACGTTTGTGAACACCCTGGCATTGGTTGTTTGTGAACACCCGTGCGTGGTTCTGAGAGTATGTTCACTGCGCAGGTCGACGTCAGCGGAACGTGTAAGGCGAACTATCAGGTAGAGGAGAATCTCACCGTGAGAAAGTCGAAGGTCGGCTGCCAGGCTCCCGATTACCCCGGACAGTTCTCGCACGCTAAGTCGGTAAGTACGCTGCCAGGCTCCCGATTACCCCTGCCAGTTCTCACACGCCAAGTCAGTAAGTACGCCGCCAGGTGCCCGATTACCCCTGCCAGTTCCCTCACGCCAAGTCTGTATGTCTGCTGCTAGGCGCCCGATTACCCCTGCCAGTTCTCACACGGCAAGTCTGTATGTCTGCTGCCAGGTGCCCACGTACCCCTGCCAGTTCTCGTCACCTAGTAGCAGCGCCACCTACAACGTCGTATCTCACCCACAGATCCTCGGCTCGTCGGTCGAGTCGACCTACAGCGCCATCTATGAGGTCGGCAAGAATGGCATTCTGCAGACGGCGTCCGGCGAGGACGTTCATGTGTTTGCGCCGAACATACGGCGGAGTCTTGCAGCCGAGATTGTCACCAGGTGGGTCCGACGTCGCGGTGGGTGCAGCAAAGTATAAATATGTTATAGTTATTATTATTATTAGTATTAGTAGTAGTATTCATAATATTAACACTACTAATTATATATTATTATTGTTATTGTTATTAGTAGTAGTTGCAGCTAGCACCAGCAGCAGCAACAGCACCAGCAGTAGCAGCAGCAATAACAACAGCAGCAACAGCAGTAGCAGCAGCAGCAGTAACAGCAGCAGCAACAGCAGTAGCAGCAGCAGCAGCAGCAGTAACAACAAGAACAAGAACAGCAGCAGCAGCAACAACAACAACAACAACAAAAACAACAATAACAACAACAGCAGCCGTAGTAACAGCAGCAGCAGCAACAACAACGTCACCACCACCACCACCAGTAATGGGTAATATTGACTCTTGCAGGCAGCAGTTGAAACTGCGTGGTGTGGTGGACGGCTCGCGGACAGTGGACGCCAGCAGCGTGGAGCAGGCCGCGGCGGGCCTAGCAGACGTGTCGCCGCGGGAGATGAAGCTGCAGAGCCTGCCGGGGAAGCCAGAGGTGAGGCGTGCATGCGCTGCGTAACCCGTGGTGTTCTGTCATCAGCGGTCGCACAATCCTCGATGCACCAGTGCCTCGAGTATATATATATGTGTGTGTGTATATATATATATATATAT